GTGGGTTTGACCCGCCAGCCTTGTGGTTAGCAGTCAAGTGCCTTAAGGACTAATTTCTTTTTCAGCAATCTCTTTGCTGGTGTAGAGGAATCTAACTGATTTTTGTATGTTGATCTTGTATCCTGTATCTGTATTGTCTACCTGTGTGTAACTGTTACGTAAACAGAAGAACGGAGAGCTAAAACAATGTTACTTCCTTTGGTTCAAGAGCATGAGATGGATGAGATTTTGTGGAATTAAACTTTTAAGAGACATTAATCACCGACTATTTTCTGCTTTTCTTTTTGTTTTTTTATTGTTGTTGCTGATATTTTTAGGCCAGTATGGTACATTCTCTGATTGAAGCATATGCGCTGCATAAGCAAATGAGGTAAGTTGTCCTTTTTCCCTGAACAGTCTTGAACCTAAGTATTCATAGTGTTATTATCCTCCTTGACAGTGAGAGAAGAATGGCTTTTGTAATATGCCTGTGACCCCGTGAAAGTTCTTAAGGAATTCAGAAAACTTGAAAAAAGTACATGACGCAGTTAAGATCCCTTTGAAATAGGTCTTTATTGCTGTAAGGAGAAATATCCTAGGGATAGCTGCATTGTGGAGATTTTAAGGTCACTACATTTGGGTACTAATGTCTGATAGAAAAAAGATGTTCAATTTTGGAGGAACTTGGTGTTCTGTTTTTGTTATTATTTTTTTTTTTTTCTAAGATACATCTGAGGCTACTTTATAGCTCTAGACATAAAGATGTGGGTTTAACTTAAAGCTTTTAGACACACACTGTCCCAAACTGAACCTTTAATTAGTGAGCCCCAGAAGTAGAACAAAGCCAGAGCAAACTTCTGAGATCAGGCCAGAATTCAGCAGAGAGCTAAATGCTTCTAAAAAAAAAAAAGTTCTATGTTTGATGATGTTATAATAGCAAATATTAAAACTCTGCTAATTCTAGGATTACCTGTGACATTTTCTGGCCAAATAGGTGAGTGTCTATACAATAGGCTTTCAGATTTTATCCTTATTTTTAACAAAATCATTTCTTGACTACTTCTTCAGAACTGTTTTTCAACCATTGTGTCAACCCATGTATTTAGCAAACATAAAAACTACATGCCTTCAATTAAAGTAAATAAAATTTCAAAAAAAATATATTACAAACAA